TATCTATTCTGATCACGACAGACCGCAATGACTGGTGTGCAGATTTATAGAGCTGCCGTAAGAAAATCAAGTTTCTGTAAAATTCGGGTCCTTTGTTGTCACTGACACGCGTCTGCATCTTTGTACTTGATGCGTCTGTAGTCGTGCGTGAAGAATTTAATAATTCTAACTGTGCGTTTGAGTACCAGAAACGTGCTGGTTAGCGAATTTCAAAGCTATTTTAGCCTTTTTGCACCATAAACCCATCCAAAGCTGCGAATTAGGTGGTTCGGAGGGTCGCTCAGACATTTATTTCCTACATTTTTTATTCTTGACCTTAGTCTCCTCCCTGTCTTCTCTGTATATTCTTGGGTAAAACTGCCGCTTCCACCGACGAGTAGCACTAGATTAGTCAACCAATTGGAATGGGCATTTTGCTCTTGGCAAGTCCCGCTCGGTGAGCTACATTGACGTCAGTGTGTACGGTTGTTTTTCCTCGATGGTCACCCGTCTATGTTAGTTCAAGAGGCGTCTAACGTGTAAGTCGCGTAAGTACTGGTGATATAACGGTTTGCTGTTTTAAAGTGTTCCAGACAAGGGGATGGTAAATATCACAGCCAGCTGGCAGAGAAGGTAACTTTTTAGAATCTGGCTCAGACTAGAGAGGTGTCCCCAGCGCGTATGATAAAACTACGTACAACCCTAACGTTTTATTATCCTAAAATGGACGAGTCCGCTTCGCTTCCTTTTTTTTAACTTTGGGCGCTTTCATCTAGGTTAGTTGCCCTTCAAGACGTTTTCGGGATGCCAATTACTCCCTCGAAGGCCAAAGTCCTAAGTAAGGATTATTCTTAGTTTTCCATTGACCTGTTACTCCTTAGTTCCGTCACGTTATCGACAGAAAACAATTACCAAGGTAAGTCATTTTTGCGACGATAAGCATCTTTTTTCAGGTCAGGCCGCATGTTTCCTCCCCAAATGCCGGGAAGGAGGGCTGTGAACAATCTTTCAGTATTCACGTGAGTCCATATTATCAGAAATTTCACTAATTTGTAACTTAAATTAACCCCTTTTTATCTAAACACTTTGTCCTAAGTATGCTAGTGACCTCGCCTTGTCTTGCGCGTGATTAAAAGCACTCGAAAAAAATGCGTTTAAGTAACCTCTCTCTCTTCTGGTATTTTGTGTTAGGTGTAACTGTTGTGACCCGCACCTGGTACTGCTAATTAAGTCGAACACCGAACCAAAGAACCCGTAAGTGAGACAGAGAGAAGACCGGTTGGCCAGAGAGAGGGAGTTTACTGAGACAAGCACGTTACAGGAAGTCATTCTCACACGAAGGCTGCATGTACTTAAGCGGAGTCGCAAGGCACATAGCTGAGTCAGTGGGCCAATCAGCTAGGAGAAAAAATCGATTGTCACGGCGCGCTCTCGTGACAGTGGCGTGATCTGCACTTGCGGCCTTTCTGTGAGATGAGAAATCATGGGAATGGGCGCATTCCCAGCAGT